GGCATCTGGAGCAGATCTATTTTCAAGGATGTTTTAGGCAGAGCATGTAATGAAATCACCAGCTGGCAATTTATGAAACAAAATATGCTGTGTTCCGTTTGATAGAGTAGTAAAAAGGCAACAAAGACTCTGTTTGTACTGGATGCCTTCTACACGCCAGTGAATCTGGCCTCCAGCTGTTAGCTATGCAGTCGGGGACTGACAATTTGTCAGAGCAGTCATAAAGCAAAGCTTTATGGGAAAGCTTATGGGATGGGGGAAGATGGCCACTTGAATTCAATACAAAGAAGTACTGTTGATGGGTTGCACTGAAATGATATGCGGCTCTGTTGTGTCAAATTAAGAGTACTGGAGGCAAAGTAAGTGGGTGGACACCAGTATATCCCAGCAACTGGTGCTAGATACTTCAGAAATGCTATTATCGCAGCGTGTAATGTATCCCTGTACAATCATCATGTACTGGGCTGTACATTGTACAGTGTCAGTAGTGTAGTCACTGAATCCGTCACTGAATCTTGTCAATTACCAGCTATGATTCTTCTAAGTGTGCACCTCCTTGATCATGTTATGGGTGTACAGGACCAATTATTATGTCAATGATTATGACTTTATGTGCTGAGTTTGTGGGTGAGCCTGGAGACATTGCGACTATGAGTGTTAGCCAATATAAAGAAGTGGGTGTTTGCATGCATGCCGCAGCAATATGAGGATCATGTGCGAAGTGAGTGGATGTGTGATTGAAATGTGTGATTGAAATGTGATTGAAATGTGATGCCGCTGGAGTTGTCCCTAATGACTATGTATTCCATCCCATCCCATAGATCCTGTTATCTGTATCCAGTATGCTGTCAATCCTCCCGTCTGTAAAACTAAACTACAATGTAGTAGTGATCTCTGTGTGTGTGTGTGTGTGTGTGTGTGTGTGTGTGTGTTGTGTGTGTGTGTGTGTGTGTGTGTGTGTGTATGGTGTGTGTGTGTGTGTGTGTGTATGCGCACGCGTATGTGTGTAGGGGGGGGGGGGGAGGGGGGGGGGGGAGGGGGGGGGGGAGGGAGGGGCTACTAACAGATGATCAGTTCTGCTTCAGGGTGAGACTCCAGCCAACCTACACCGTTCTCATGGTTTCCTCCAATTAATTATGTGATTTTCTTCTTTTTCAACTTGTTGCTGTTTTCTGGCAGTTTAACTGGGCAATTGGTATCTGTCCTACTTGCTACTGCTTTTTGCAATCTGTGTGCGTGTGTATGTTTGGCGGCACTTTTTCCTCTGCAGAATGTGTTGCTGCGTGTGGAAGGCGAGCAGATGGAAGCTGTCGTGGCTGACTTTGGACTGGCAGCAAAGATCCCATGCGTCACGGGGTAAGACCTCCAGCAAGGGTTGTTACGCGGAATTGTGCGATTTTACTGCATGGCTACTCTGGAACTGTGCCTCCGATAGCGCATCTTACACTTTAATTAACTTGTAATGTAGTTGAAGGGCTGGTACTGTTAAGAGACATCCAGAGGGGAAAATTATCTGTGTTTTGCCTATGAATCTACTACCTTAGCAGCTGTGGTGTAGCTCGTACATCTATGGCGTGGTGACTAAAAGCCAGAATACATCTGTGGTGTGGTGACTACGTACCACTGGCAGCAACCTTATAGCTGCAATTGAGCCCATTTTGACCATATAGAACGTAAGACAGCCATTTTCTAGTGTGATGGCCAGACTATGCTGACTACACACGAGCTACGCGCCTGCTTTGTAGTCATGCATATTACAGTGCCGTTTTTTTTACCGCTTTGCATCAGAGACTCAACTGATATGCCCCCCCCCCCCCCCATGCTTTTACTGTGAAATGCAGGGCTGTATTATCTGTTGTTGGCACACCGTATTGGATGGCACCGGAGGTATTGAATGGCGAACCGTACAACGAGAAGGTAAGCGGAGTGCGTCTCTGCGGCCCACTTTCACAACACAACGCACACGCACATGCATGCAGGTTAACACCCCCCCCCCCCCCCCCCCTCTACACACACACAAACGGTAGCCTCTCTTGTGAATATGGTGGCTTAGCAATGGACTTTATCATTCTAGTTTTTTTGTTTTGTTTTCGTGACAAGAGGGTTAGGTACAATCGACCGAACAGTGTGCTTGAGTCACGCTACCAAAACAATAATTATGTAGAAGCTAGGGAATCGATATTGTTCAGCCCGGATGCGAAATACATGCCATACGGATGTTCCGAAGATCACCTTAGCGCAAAACTCTGCATTGCAGCATATAACTTGTTTCATTCTGTTCCCAATGTGTTTTCTTTGCATGCATACTTTGCAGGTCTAGCCTTTCCACCTGTATCTCCGCATAATTTCTTATCATTGTGTTTATTATGCATGCATGTTTGTGTGTGTGTGTGTGTATGCGTGCATGTTGTTGGATGCACCATCGTGTGTGGGTGCGTGTGCGTCTACAGGCTGATGTTTTCTCTTTTGGAATTATACTCTGTGAAATCCTGACTCGTGTGGGAGCGGACCCGGAGAACTTACCGAGGACTAGAGTGAGTTTTCTGGTTGGCAATTGACATTGAGTTGCCATTTTTCTTTCATTGTACCATAATGATATTGTCAACAAGTCAATTAGGTAATTGTCATGCCTGTTGTACTTACTAGTAGTTGGGGTTTTATGCTGCAAATAGCGTTTGTGTAGTTTTGTTTTGGTGGTCCTATCATTCTCTCAATGCCGCTGACAGTGATAGGAATACAGTGATAGGAATACAGTGATAGGAATGTAGATGTGATCTTACACTAGGGATATCAGCGAACGCACTGCGCAGCTCATCTGCGCAGGTCAGCCTGGCCCATCTACGCGCGCGGCCGACAAGAAAACTCATGAACACTTTCATTTTTTTGCAAAATAAATCGTGTGAAGAAGATGCACGGAATGGCTGAAAACTAGGCCGAGGAATAGTAGCATCCAGAGACTCTCAAACAAATTCATGGTCCATCACTTCTGACAATGGCAGGGAAGACATCAGGGAGCTGATTGCAGCAACTCTCTACCAAGCGCAATGCTGGTTACTCACCAGGGCAGGGCGCTTCCATCGCGCAAGAAATGGCCGCGAGCGAGAAATGCAAGTCCGATTTTGGAACGATCCAACCAGGGGAATCTCTTGAAAATTGGCCTGAACACCTCTCATACTGGTGTTTCACGATGTGCAAACTTTCAGAGAAATCGACCGGGGAGAACGTGGTGAGTACGTGGGTCCTCCGTATCGCGTATGATTTGAATGGTCGCGGGGACAGAAGAACAGTAATTTTACGACTCCCAGCGGTGCAAACAGACCACGGCCATGTTTTCTCTGTCGGCCGCGATCACGTTCAAACAATCGATGACGCAATGCATGCGCAGAGGCCTGCGCAGTGCGTTCGCTGACATCCCTACTTACACTACAGTACCTGCTGCTGTATGCTGTCTGTCCTCTGCAGGACTTTGGTCTGAATGTGGGTGAACTGATGGAGATGGTGGCTGGTGCACCGCCCATCTTGGTCCGACTGGGTATTCACTGTTGCCAAGTAAGTACTTCAGTAGCTAGTAATACCCTGTAGTGTGTGTTGTTTTCTTTGCTCTCCAAGTGCAGCCAAAGCAATAGTAACGCAACCAAAACCAAACTATTTTCAAGCAGTTTGATCTTGGAAAGCCAACAGCCACACTGTATCTGCCACCTTGTCCAAAGCATGTGACATACTTCCGAAGTATTGAGATGAGGATGACCACATACAGCTCTTGGAGTGTCATCTGCGCCTTGATCCTTGAGGCTGGTGGCATTCCTACGGATGCAGAAATTCAGTCTGACCAAGTCTAACGGGAGTTGTAATTTTCTTTCTTCTAGGGCACATGACGGAATAGGTCAAATGTGAGATGTGTACTTGGTGATGATATCCTGCACTAGGCAACGCTTGTGTGATTGATGGTCTGTGCCTGTGTGCTTTCTGTGTGTATGTGTGTGTGTGTGCGCACGCGCGCGTGTGTGTGTGTGTGTGTGTGTGTGTGTGTGCGTGTGTGTGTATGTGTGTGTGTTTTATAGCTTGCTCCAGAGCGACGCTTGACGTTTGCGCTGATCGCATCGCTGCTAAACCGTCACCGAGGCCAGAACATGTTCAATGAGATAAACAGCAGAATGCTGATAGTGGAAGAGAGTGCGATGGGTAGCGCTAGTGACTCACCGTTGACTGAGGGGGAGCACCCTTTCAGTCACCTTAGTCCATGTTGCAGTCCAGTACCAAGTTCAACACTACTGTCGTCCAATTCCAGCACAGAGATCCTACAGTGCCTCTCACCACCGTTTCGCAGCACAAGCTCCACATCGCAGCTCCCGTCGCCATCTGCATCGCTCGACGACAGCTGCAACTCCATACTGCGTCACTTGACACTGGAGCAGCCTGATGGTGGTACCCCGCAGGACCAGCACCTGCATGCGGTGCCGGGCACTATGTCGACGGCAGACCGTGACGTGCTTGACGAGTACGTCGCTGCAAAGTCAGAGTGCCTGGCATCGCCGGAGTCACTGTCCTCGGCGTCCATGGAGGACAACGCCTCTCCGACGCCGTTTTCATTCCCCGCTGCGCGAGATATCATGGAGCAGCTCGTGTCATCAGCTAGCGCCTGTTCATCTCCAACGCCTGCTTTACCACCCAGTCCACCATCTATGACACATCAACCTTCGTGTGCGCAAGCTGTTTCTTCTCCGGCAGTTCCTCTGGACAATGACATTAGTAGTTCAGGGGGAGCTGCTGCTAGTATGCCCATCACTACCAGAGCCGCGAGCGATTCCGCTGGCGGAAAGTCACCGCGTCCCCGTGCGGCGTGGCGGGCAAAGCACCAGCGCTCGGCATCACTGAGCAAGTACCGTACTAGACCGTTTCCGTGCCTGGCCGACCAGCCCGTATCCTCCGCTCCAAGCAGCCCAACATCTTCGCGTGCTTTCCCAAGACATGCTCCGCCGATTAATATTGCACGCTTGGAGCCCATTGTGAAAACTCGTCCGCGGAGCGCTACACCAACAATGGAAGGTGACTACTAGCTAGAATCATACATAGTATACTGCAAGATGGAACTTGATACATCCTGCCAAACTGCCGCCGCATCGTTTCTAGGTTAAATTCTGTTGCCTGGAGTGTATTACGCGTTGTCTTTCAATCAGTGGTAGCACTGTGACTTTGAGCAGGTGAAGCTATCTTCCAGTGTGCATATGTCGGAGTGCCTGTATTTCCCCACTCCTTATCATCAACCATGACAGCCTCAACTCTTGAGACCATTGAGTCCATGGCACTCTCATCTAGTTTCTTCAGCACTCGACTGCAATGTGCAATACAACCCTGAACCTGTTACGTAACTTAGACTTGTAGAATCACACAGTTAGCGCTGCTATATTCACCTACTCTTTCAGATATCTGTTCTATTTTGAAGATTTGTCCACCGCTGGCCACGCAGACATACTTGTGACGAACCAAACCTTTACGACTGATCTCTTTATACCAAAATTTCCCCGTTTATTGACGCTATCCTGCATAGTACCGAAGTATCTCCTAAGCACCCTTGTGTACCCACCAATCACAACTCTATGGCGTTGGCTTGACGTTGCAGTTCTCCACGCCATCATTTTTTCCTGGTTTATGACGTGTTGTACACGACTATCACACCGTTGAAAACGAGGCGCACATTCGTCCTTCCTATATTTCACAATACTCGTATTTCACAATCTCTTAGTCACTGCCATCTAAAGCGGAATCTGGCCTTCAGGCCTAGCTTCCAGTCGCTTCTTGCTGATAGTGTATACCGTGACTTGTAGTGATTCAGTCTGTGTCTGCAGAGGCGCCTTCAAGTTGTACAGTCATACTGTATACATGTACCAGTACAAGTACAGTGAGTATCGTTTATAAAGTGACCGGATATAATGATATACCGGTTATAGTGAGAACACGTCAAAATCAAAATCAAATCAGAAAAAATACAGCTAAAATATCACTATATACACTATTATCGGCTATACCGATATATCGCTTATTGTGATGGACTTCAGGAAGCAAACCATATCAAATGTACAGGAAAATATCGCATATAATGATCAAGAGTGATGATCACAAAACAATTGTTTTTTCAATAAAGTTCACTTCTTCCAAAACTGATCCAGTGTTGCCTGGTTGCATCTGGCAGCAGACGTGGCTGAGAGAAAATTCTCAAAATTCTCAATTTTAGACAGGTGTCCCTGTATGCTGTGGTCACGAATGTCACTCGACGTACTCATGATCTCTTTTTGCACCAACCCATTATTTTACCTGCACACACATGTCCGTTTCTGGCTGTGCTACCCCTCGCAATGTGCTCCCTTTGTATGCTCTTGTCCGTTTCTGTATGCACATGTCCTTTTCTGGCTGCGCTACCCCTCGCTCCCTTTGTATGGTCTTGTCCTTTTCTGTATCTTTCTGCATGCTCTTGTCTGTTTCTGGCTGTGTTGCCTCTCACACAGTCCGCGGAGCATGCATGCACTTTCAGCATGCTTTTTCCAGCGTGTACGCATCATTTCATGTGCAGTCATGTGCCATGTGTCGGTCAAACATGCAAATCGGCTATAGTGATGCACCGGATATAGTGATACATTTTCGAAAATCAAAGGGGCACGTTATATCCGATATTTACTGTAGTTGCAGTGCTTCTGATAATGGTACAGTAAGTATCGTTTATAAAGTGACCGGATATAATGATATATCCATATAAAAATCGCTCTGTGAGCGGTTCTGAAAAACCTTTACTGGTACTGCCCCGTCGTAAAAGTAAGAAATTAGAACTGGCCCATTGTCCCCCCAAATGCGAACTGATCCACCTAAATCGCGAATGACGGGACCCGAACGCACCAGTAGCACGAGGTCGGGAGGGCACAGGATCACGGCAATTATCATAGGGTAACACCAGTAGTAGCAGTAGAATTTATTATTTTGATAGGGAAGCCTACCGCTAGTACAGTACATGGCCTATGGTCCGGACCAACGTCCCCATCTGCATCCACAGGTAGGAACCTCGTGCTACTGGTGCGTTCGGGTCCCGTCATTCGCGATTTAGGTGGATCAGTTCGCATTTGGGGGGACAATGGGCCAGTTCTAATTTCTTACTTTTACGACGGGGCAGTACCAGTAAAGGTTTTTCAGAACCGCTCACAGAGCGATTTTTATATGGATAATTTCAGCTCTTTTTCTGTTCCCTCCCCACCCCAACCCCGAAGGTAAACATGATGACCACGCGCGCGATGTACTGTATGTAGCCATGCGACTGCAATAACACACTGATACATACCAGCCCTCCCCGCCTGGCTACCCCGCACACAGATACACAAACATGTGTATGCACACGGCACACACACGTGGCCACGCACACATACGCACATGCACACGACACAAACAGGAAATTCTTCATGTATAATGCCATGCAAAGCAGTGGCCACCGTACTTGAGGAAGTCAGTTGTGAAACAAAAATAATTCAACTACAGCGTGTAGACAAGCTGACGGCCAAAGCACAACATAGCAAACATGACATTTGCCCAAGGATTGCAGTTTGCAGACCATGCCATGAAGCAGCGAATACAGAATGTAATATCATACAAAGTGACAAGCAAGGACGTGGCCATCATACACCAGAAACTTGCAGAAAGTCACATATCCAACAGATAGAGAAGTGAACAGCAATCTGATACAGCCCACACAGGACAAAGCGGACCTGATACTCGTCCCAGGATCGCAAGTGGCAAACCCTTTTCAATGCATAACATGCAGGTGTACGTTAGACGCATGAACATCTGACCGTGTCGCCAGCATACAATGTCATCACATGTTTACCCCACAAGTTACACACATGCACAGTAGAAGCACAATGTAAGCAATAGAGAAGTACGATGTGGTTGGAGAAGCATCTTCACACTTCAAATTCAGACTTCAATGTGGTCATCACGGGATGATAAACCTGCAAGGTACAAGTGATGAAGAAAGAAAGCAGAAGGTCGTGAGGTAGGCTATGAGACACCACAAACGGTTCACCTACTTCTGAAGTACATGTCTGTTCAGGGCTAGTGCACTCACACGGAGAATTGTCATAATCGAGCATTTCCCAAACTGAGAAGTGCAATGAAATCCACTTGCATGCACAGGAGCAATTTTGCAATATTATGATGCGCAATTCGACACGATCTGCGATGCTGCGTGCGATGTGCCCTGCTGTCATGATAGTGACAGTCACCGCGGTATGTTTTGTCAACGTCGCCCGAGCACTCTTCTGTCAAGTCCAAAGTGCTCACATACTTGGCAATGTTTTTGCAGTGATTAACTTTTATCCTAGTTATGTCACGGGTAACTTTAATGAAGTACCCGCAGGCCGTCCACTCTCTCCACTCTCTCATGTACTTGGCCTGCTTTGTCTGTGTATCCATTTCATGTGCGATCCACAAAATCGACTAGACAGTGGGTGCAATACGCTCTCTACCTGAAGACGTTCTTCTGGCGACATCTCACCATGTACTTGGCCTGGCTTTGTCTGTGTATCCATTTCATGTTCGATCAACAAAATCTCAATGCACTACAGAGACTAGACAGTGGGTGCAATACGCTCTCTATCTGAAGACGTGAACCATTAAATTTTTTGGAAAAGTTATACGTACACCTTAAACGTAATGAAGTACAGGAATAGAGAGAGTGACTACAATACGCTCTCGACCTGATAACGTGAGTACAAGACACTCTCCACCTGATAACGTGTTAGTAGAAGGTAACAGGTCTACAGTCCCACCGTACCCTTCATCATTCCTCATTCACCATCGCGCGATACCCTGGCACACACTGGCAACATATCAATGGGGTGCCTTACCGTCGTCTAGAAGAGACGTCTTCGCAGCAATATTTTCCCTCCTGCGCATTCAGTCGCCGACGCGACAGCGTTCACGGGGCCGTTCCAGTTGCGGAAGACATTCGATTCATCGGGCCAATTCAGCAACAGGGCCGTGGACACACAGGGGGCAGAGGAGAGACATTGTTAGTGGACAAGAAATATGCAGTGGCAAGTGGCGAATGCCGCATGGATGTCAAGTTGTCATGCACAATTCAGCTATTACTTATGGTCCAGCCAGTCCTGCCATTGCTCGCTCGTCCTGGTTCCTCCTCGTTCGTCTTCCTGCACGTCTGCACTTCTCCTTCCCCACCGTTGGCTTTGCGGTACGGGGGTGCCGGAAGGAATTCCCACCATGTATCCATGTACATGAAGTCCCACCATGACTCTCCATGTACATGTCCACGGCCACGTCAGCAGTTTGTATAGTACCGGAAGGAGTTCCCACGATGTCTCCAAAGGCCTAGAGCGGACGTCTTTGCAGCAATTCTTTTCGCCCTGCGCATTCAGTTCGCCGACGATGTCTCCAAAGGCAAAGGCCTGGAGCCTAGTAGAGGGGACGTCTTTGCAGCAATTCTTTTCACCCTAGTACCCTGCACATCAGGGAGTCGTCAAATTTGACGACTCCCTGCTGCACATTCACTCCGCCGACACGACAGCGTTTACGGGGCCGTTCCAGGTGCAAAAGGTCCACGTCAGCAGTTCTCAACTATTTCGCGTACGGGATAGTCGCCGCGACAGCGTTTAAGGGGTCGTTCCAGGTGCAAAAGGTATCCATCAATGGCACTTTGCAGTATGGGGTACGGAAAAGGGGCCTCCTCGTTCGACTTCGTCGACTTCTGCAGTTCTCCTTCCCGTCAGGGGTACCGAAAGGGGCCTCCTCGCAGTTGTCCTTGCCGTCAGGTCCACGTCATGCAATTCTCAACTATTTCGCGTACGTGATAGTCGTCTTTGTCGTACGCGACATCGGCGTTTACCGAGTGGCATTGGCACAAAGCGTTAAAGCAGACCGTTGACGGGGTCACGTGTCAAAAAAGTATCAACAATGTGTCGACTACGTGTCGACCACGTGTATAGCGGTACACTCAGCGGTACACTAATTCTCGTGCCATTCTCGTGTCACAAAACTGGAACATCGAGTACCAGTATGGAAAGGCTTCAGACAGGAAGCCTTTCCAATACCGGTTATAGTGATAGAACACGTCAAAATCAAAATCAAATCAGAAAAAATACAGCTAAAATATCACTATATACACTATTATCGGCTATACCGATATATCGCTTATTGTGATGGCCTTCAGGAAGCAAACCATATCAAATGTACAGGAAAATATCGCATATAATGATCAAGAGTGATCTTTCTGCATGCTCTTGTCCGTTTCTGGCTGTGTTGCCTCTCACGATGATGTTGCCAACTCACGTACACAGCCACTCATGTCTATTTCTGGCTCTACGCAACTCGTTGGACACCGAGTAGATCTACGATCTACGTGAGCACGGATCCAGCTCAGGCTTTTTTTGGAGAACACGCTGAAGAAGCAGCCATGCCACATGATGTATCGAAGTTCTAGTACATGTACAGTCTGTACTCGTACTGCACTGCCATGCACTGCTCTGTGTCATGCACCGGTACGCGGTACACAGTCCGCGGAGCATGCATGCACTTTCAGCATGCTTTTTCCAGCGTGTACGCATCATTTCATGTGCAGTCATGTGCCATGTGTCGGTCAAACATGCAAATCGGCTATAGTGATGCACCGGATATAGTGATACATTTTCGAAAATCAAAGGGGCACGTTATATCCGATATTTACTGTATGATACCATCACAGACACGGACACAAAAAAATACTCCTTTTATCGGCATGATACCGTGACAATTGCACCTGATACCGGGAATCTGAGTAAAAAGCTAGTACTCATATCATGAACGCAGACAATGGGACGTATTCATCAATTTCCCGCCGTTAGGTTTTGCGGGGCAAGTCCACTACAACCGTACACACTGTGATACCAGCTCTGCATAAAAGGTCATGAACTTTGTGAGGTCATACTCCTAAATGTACAATAACGGGTTGTACCTGCCAAGTATGGGGTAACTTGCCCCGCAAAAGGTGACGGCCATCTTAGATGCATACCTCCCATTGAACTCTTCACCAGCAAACCTAGCTCTAGTCTAGTCTAGTCTAGCTCTAGATAGAAGTGCAGTAAGGAGTACATGTACCATCATCCACCAGCCAGACAGCTGCTGCTGCTTTCAAACTGAGAAAATGCATGAACATGATTGTGTGAATCATTGGAGGTTCTTTCCCCAAAGACTAACGGTCAGCCTCAGTAGTTTTGTATACACGACACGTGTGTGAACAGTAAACTCCCGTCACAGTCTGATGAAGTGTTGAGTACTCTTGTACCAACCTGCACATAACGTAACTGTGCTTGAATCATGCATACAGAAACAGTGACATGTGAGGGGCCAGATTGATCTAGCATGGGCATGACAACTCAGGGGACCAGGTGCTACTCCGTGTGGGCTGATTGCCATGTATTATAGTGTTGTTGTTTTTTTTTAATATCAATGGAAATCATGGCCATCAAGGCTTATCCACCATACCTTAGACTAGAGGTAAAATCAGAAAATCTTGGCAAATCTCATAAATTGTTCAACAGATACAAATGTTCTGAGTTCCAACAAAATGTGTGTGTGGGGGGGGGGGGGGGGGGGTACCGGTATGGTATGACCGCCTCTTCTGAAGTAATAATGGATCACACCAGGTTAGTGGTATGTGTATGTAGCGGCTCCGTGGATCATGGCTAATGTGCACAGCATATTCGAGTTCACACTAAAGAGTCGAGACACACTTTGAAACGCATCAAAATCGGACCACACTGCTGCATACCACGAACCACGATGACTGAGATTTGCTGAAGCATTCTGTCTTTCAACACAGACAGGAGGTACCTGCACGGGCCTTCGTGTTTCACTTCACCCGTCATGGCTGCACCCGCTGTAGGTCCACCAGCAGTGACAGTAGCGGCTGCTCATAGATACACGGTCATTTTGTCTGTGATAGCAGCGCGGCATAAAGGACAGCGCTGTACCTGGCCACTGCACTCCTCACAGCATACCATGTGCTTGCACGGCTGAAACACCACCGCCACGTCATTGTCCATGCAGACCTTGCACGCATGACGGTCGGCATCCGCTGCCCTCTTTGCTGGTGGCTCGGGTGCTGCAGGCAGCATGGGGGCAGTCGCTTGCGCAGTGTACCCAGAAGCCGCACGCTGGTGACCATTGGGTCCATACCGGCTGGCGGAAATCTGTTGGAGCAGGATGTTCCTTGTCAGAGGGGCGCCATCCGGCCAATTTTGCAGGGCAGTCAGCACCCGAAACGCTGTGCTTGATTCGACGACCATCTTCAGTTCTTCATCCGTGATCCTACTCTCCAGACACACGGACAACCAAGACGGCGATCCCGGCGGCTTTCTAGCCAGGAGTGAACAGTGCCGTGAATGGCGCCAATGCTCCAGCCACACGTCATCGCCAGGATCCCAGTAGCACAGCACCTGACCGCAGCCATAGCAGCGCACCACATCGCCAGTGTAGCAGTAGAAGAAACCGCTCTCTGTGAACAGCTGGTGGCTAATCTCGGCCGACAGGTATGAAAGGGCAGCGAACGACTCCTGCCGGGCTGACGCCAAGCAGAAACGATCGGAGATGATATCAACCGGTGCCCAGCGAAGGAAGTGAGGACAGTGCGGGGACTTGTCACCATGCTCTAGCCATGGACAGCGTCCATCGGGAAATCTCTCCACAACCAGTCGACACCGATAGCAATGCAAAAGCCCATCCTTGTTTCCGTAGAAAAATCCAGCCTGTGCCACCGACTTGACAACATCGAACGGCATACTCATATCATCTGGAAAGGATTTACACCGCGACTCCGTGTCATTAAACTGCTGGTAGTCCCTGACCACTGGACAGTCTGGAAAGGCTTTGGCATGTTCCTCCCATGGCTCATCACCTTCCTCCCAGTCCTTGTTGCCACTATTGCAGAACGGGCATCGGACAACATCCTGCCGCAGCGTGTAGTACAGTCCCGCATCAGCCAGCTTCTGCGGATGAACAACGTCATCCAGAGGCCAGTTGGCAAACGTGGCTAGCCGTGCTTGCCCACTGGTCTTGAGCATGTGTTGTACGGGCGGCAGCATGTCCTCGATAACTTTCTCACAGACATGATTTGCTTGCGCATGCAGCTCCCAGCCATCGTCTTCATTGGATGGAATTTCAAAGTCAGCCAGGCACCGCACGCAGCAGACAGTCCGATCACTGCCGTGGAAGAAGCCTTCTCCGGCAAGCTCGTTACAGCAAGCAGGACTGCAGCTCGTGCCTCCGCCGCCGGCGTTCATCCCGGCGCAGCACCAGGTCGGCGGAAACGTAGCTAGACGATCTCTCTCCTCCTGCATAGCCGTGCGCACTTGGACAGGGTGCTGACATCTGATGTACGAACAGGACGGAAACCACCTGGCATGTTGACTGGCAGGACGGTCCCCATCAACCCAGTCACTCAACCGGCCATTGCATTCCAGGCACGTTACGGTGTCTCCTTGGCCTAAGTAGGTAAACCCCGCTGTCGCAAGCTGCCGGCCAGAAACAGTGTCCTCTTTCGGCCAGTTGCCCAGCGATGCTAGTCGTTCTGCTAAGCTATTCATTGCCCAAACACTGCGGACTGCAGCCTGCACAGCAGGAAATGGTTACAACTTGTGGACAGTGACCTGGAATAGCAGTAGCAGAACACACAGTGGTAAACACCAAACAGATACCATGCTTGGTAGTGACCTAGACAGTGTTGCCACATCATTATAGCCAATTATCAGGAGGATGAAAAAAATTAAAATGCATTATCCAGGGTCTTTGCCCCCGGACCCCCCCCCCCCCCTCCCTTCAGGGTAACCCCAATACACATGCAAATGCGCACTCGGAACTGTTAAGAAAACCTTTCACGGCTTTGCGTGAGACTCAGGCTGAGTTTTCTGTATTCCCCAGACAGCTGATGATTCGTAAGCCCCTTAGGAATGAGCTATGGAAACAGTCGTGATGAGCAGTAAAAGCCAAAATCTGGATCATTTTTCTTCTTCTTTTTTTTCTGAATATCACAGAACCATCAGATGCTGTACAGCGGGGGCGGTGGCATATTGGATGGAAGTGGGGACTTCAAAACCACGCACAAGGTCAAACTTGGACACTTTCATGGCTGTTGTCGGCAGGAGAAGGTCAATTGTCGGCAGGTCATGACAGGCCTCAAAAATCAGCAGGCTACTGACATGTCGGCAGGTGTGGCAACCCAGCCTAGACACAGTCAAGAAACGGGACTGGACACAGCAGTACAACAATGACTGGGTCAGACCAGGTTCTGTGGAGATAACGATGGAGCCATGTCTTGCTGCCGAGAGATATCGATAGTGAGAGATATCGAACATTTGAACAGTACTTGCAGTACTGTGCAGTGTATACATCTCTCTCTCTCTCTCTCTCTCTCTCTCTCTCTCTCTCACACACACACACACACACACACACACACACACACACACACACACACACACACACACACAAACATACACACACACACTCTCTCTCTCTTTCTCTCTCTCTCTCTCTCACACACACACACACACATACTCTCTCTCTCATTCACTCACCCTCTATCCCTCTATCTCTCTCTCTCTCTCTCTCTCTCTCTCTCTCTCTCTCTCTCTCTCTCTCTCTCTCTCTCTCTCTCTCTCTCTCTCCCCGTAGCTCTCTCCCCTTTGAAATTCGCTTCCATAGAATTGGGCACCATTGCCCGTTTGTAAAATATAAATCAACAACAACAACAACAACAACAACAACAACAACAACAACAACAACAACAACAACAACAACAACAACAACAACAACAACAACATGTAGGCTAGAGCTAAGGATGCCGCATCAAGATGCAAGCGAGTTTCAGAGAGAAAAGAGCAGTACGTGGCATGTGGCCTCTAATTTCCTAACAATTTGAAATTCTCCGTGAAGTCCAAATTTGAAATTGCAATTTGTATTTGATCGCAGTGGACATAGTTTTATGCGCTCCCCATGATATCAAGCGAATGGCCGAGGGCCCTCTTGATTGGTGTGAGTTGCCAGTATGATGATGCAAGCCAGACATTGATTGATCGAAGAAGGATAGATTTACCATCACCGTGGATAAGAGTCATACTGTAGCTCAGTTGGTTAGAGCATTGCTCGCGAATAGCAAGGTCCCTGGTTCGAGTCCCGGTGGTGTGACTGTTGATTTTTTCTTTCTTTCATATCTGGCTTGCAAGTGTTGAGTTTCGGAGAGAAAAGAGCAGTACGTGGCATGTGGCCTCTAATTTCCTAATAGTAATAATGTAAGGAAAAAATTGGAGGCGTATCCAATTTCGAAAGAAAAGGTGTCAGCACCGACGCAATCCACACAGTCAAGTAAGCCAATTTGGTAACCGAACGTTTTCGTTCCCTTCTCATCATGAGTAAGTACAGGAAATAATGGAAAAATGTCAAAATACAGCAATTTATAGAACTACAGAAAAAGCATAGATCGAGAACCTCACGCTATACGTGTGGAAAAATCAGCAGAACAGGTCAAAAACAGGGTGAAGCCTGAAGAAATGACTTAACATAATGAAAACATCAGTGAGGAAAAGCACTCCTGACACTTTCACGAGGATTAGTGCCAAACAACTGAAGTAACAAAACTTTTTTTCTGAACACATAGTTCAGGGGACAACTTACGGATATATAACGCTTCCAAAACAGACAAATGTTCATTCTGTTTTAGCCATTTCTTCACCTTCACCCTGTGCTTGACCTGTTCTGCTGAATAATTTTTCACAAGTATAGCGTGAGGTTCTCGATCTATGCTTTTGCTGTAGCTCTATAAGGGCGCGTTCAGACTACCGATAAAAAGTGATGGAATGGGAAAGTTTCCAAGGTGATTTGATCACGTGACGTTACTGGCACGTTACCGGCGGAAAAGTTTTACTGCCGCGCCTGCTGCGGCGGTTACTGCATTCCGGCAGTAAAAAGAGTGCTCAGGCTGGGAAAAAGGGAAAATCCCTTCTCAGTGCCGTGGTGAGAGCTGCAAAACTTATTTATTTAAATATTTATTTATTTATTTCTGCACCTCGTGGCATGTCAAGACAGCCAATTGAATTGAGGAGAGGGTGAGACCAACCACGGAAGAAGAGAAAAAAGAAAATGAAGAGCACGTACACAAAGTGGGAAGGGATTAGCAACTTACAAAGCAATGGGATGCTCAGCGAGCTATGCAGCGGAAGTGGGGACTGTGACTTACGTACCGGTAACGTTAGTTTATCGGTAGTGTGAATGTCCTTCACGGTTTATCGCCTTTCAAGGTTTGACGGGATTCACGGTAGTCTGAACGCGCCCTTAATTGCTGTATTTTGACATTTTCCATTATTCCCTGTACTTACTCATGATGAGAAGGGAATGGAAACGTTCGGTTACCAAATTGGCTTACTTGACTGTGTGGATTGCGTCGGTGCTGACACCTTTTCTTTCGAAATAATAATAATAATAGTAATAATCGAGAATCTCTCCAAACCAGACTTCAAATTCCTTTTCATCTTCAGGGAAAATTTGGAAAGGAATTTGAAGTTTGGTTTGTAGAGATTTGGAGGGATTTTCAATATTTTTGTAGCCAAGGACTTTGTGCGGGCGTGGGCGGTAGAAATTAAAATCTACATAGTAGTATCAAGAGTATTATAAGCCCCCTAGGCCCTATGAGCACTGGGGACTTAAACATACTTTTGGTAGCATCAGGTAGTAACGCCTGCATCCGATTTGAAAAAGTCTTAGTTGAATAACCCCTCTCTCTTGCAAGCTTGATGTCTGCATAGTCATTGTAGCACTAGCAGTACTAGCAGCATGCAGTGAACTACACAAATATTTTCTTACCTTTCCAAAATAGAACATTACATGTGCAGTCTGCACCCACTCCAGTCTCCAGTCGCCCCCAGAACGATACACCAGCCACTAGACACAACGTCCCAGACCACAACCTGAACGGAACCGCTAGTTTCGCTAATACTAATAGTAATACTTTTAAAAATAGTAAAACGTAGTAAGGCGCAGCTTTGAGAAGAAGCCGCTGGGGTAATATAAGGGTAAGAACAGAACACTGATCTGTCCCCGATCTCCAATCTGACAAACCATGATCCACCTAGCAAACGTCAACGGTCAAGTCAAAATAATTGTTGTTTATTTTGGCCCTCATATTTTATCATCTATATACAGACTACACTGCGACTACACTACAGTCTACAGTTTGTAGTGTCGACTACCGGCCGGTATACCGGGTACTGACACGTAGCTCTACACTACGAACCGTACTAAGTCTTGTAGTTGTACTTGTAGCTCCAGATTTTTCTTCTTCTTTTTTCGCAAGCAAGATGCATGAGCGATGCATGATAGTGTGAATGTTACCATAGCGACAGGACGGCTGCATGCAGTGTCTGTGCCAGTCGGTGCGGCGCGGTCTGCCGCCCCTACGCCATTTCGTGATGCCAGCTGGTAGACATACATGTACCGTGCAAGTACAGTCAGTAGAAGTAGTACTACACTCTACAGAACATAGCATACCCTGGCCGCATACTACACTGTACACATAATCATTGGGTACAAAGAAGACTGTTCAGTGTTGACTTGTCAGGTCAACCAGTGACCCAGTCACATGCGTGCACACGCGCGTAGCTAGCCATCAATGCATTACATGCAGCTAGCTAGCTCCCTCCGTCAACATGGTCAACGCTCATGCATCAGCGCATATATGCGCGCATGCAGTGCTATGCTGTGTTTCACTGTTTGAAGCGCGTGTTTGAAGGCGTTTGAGTTGTTGTGTTTTGAATGCAGATTGTAGTCAGTAAAAGGTAGCGGATTTGGTCCAGAAGATACAGTAGTATCTCTGTAAACTAATTACTTCACTGTCTTCACGTCCGTTGTGGCTGTTCGTTTGCTCCTGGCACTGTCGGCCAGTGCGCTTTCCTGAGATGGCGAGCGATGGCGAGCATTTTGATGTGGTGCTCACTGGTGGTGCACCGTGGGGCTTCCGTCTGCAAGGTGGACGAGAGTTCCGGTCACCGCTACGAATTCTCAAAGTGAGTGCGCTCCTGTATGTTGTTTCTGGCTGTTTTCGAAGTCGTGGAGACAAAAACGAATTTCTTTTGTGTGCTGGGGTTCTCATTTTTGCATTGCACGCAGGAACAGCAGCAGCATTTGGGCAGCATTTTGGAGGAATAGATAATGTGGGTTACGGTTTTGCTCTCTTGCGTGTGTCCAGGTGACGGCAGGTGGCAAGGCTGAGCGAGCGGGACTTAAAGAGAGCGACTACTTGGTTGCCATCAACGGCGAAAGTTGTGATGACTGCCTGCACAACTATGCACTGCAGAGAGTGAAGTCGGCCGGAGCATCTCTGACTCTCTCCATTTCGCGGTACGTCTGAGTGAGCATTGCTGTGCTGTTGTTTCCATCGCCTACTACATGTTGTAGTATGCTTGGAGTTGGAGGATGGTTGCAGTGGCAATGATTATGTTGTTGTGTAGCGGTATGCTGGCTTTGCTTGGCTTGAGTGGTCGAGTATGCGAGGAGCGAACCGGTGGACTTGCATCAGTAGTTTAGTGAATGTGTGTCAGTGTGGAGTCTGGACAGAGTGTGCTTGTTCGCTTCTATTTTTCTAAGTCTTCTAATCTATGCATTACTAGTTCTGGGCTTCTGAACCGCTGTCATGCCATTCCGAGATATGCAGTGTTGTTATTCTGCTTTCTCTGTTGCGTATGTGTGAGGGAAATATTGTGTAAAGTAAACTGGTAAGTCGGCTTGTACTTGTACTTGTAGCGCTTTCTCCGTGACAGGTGCATCGTTCCAAGCTCGAACTACATTACTAGTACATAGTCATTGTAAGCTACGAGCAGTCAGCTTGCTGCTGCTTGCAGAAAAGGGGCATGCTGGTGTCGTGCGTTAGAAGGACGAGTGGACGAGTGGACGAGTGGGTGATATCGGTACATGTACATGTACATGTTTGCTGTGACCATTTTTTCCTATGCAGTGGTGCTGCCAGCAAGCGCTCGAGCTCTGTATTTGACGAGCAGAGGACGTCTGCATCATCGGCTTCCAGTGTTACATCCCCTGCTGGCAAGGCCAAGGTGGCACCTCCATGGGCCCGCTCTGGCAGTAGCAGCAACGGAAGTCGTGTATCCGCATCGTCTTCTTCTACGTCTTCAGTTTCCACACCGGCTGCAAAGTCCTCGAGTAGTTCTTCAGTGTCGGGACAACGCCCCACAGCCGGCGAGTCCGGAGCTCTTGCTGCTACTTCTGGAGATCTGAAAAGCGGCGGCAATGAAGGTAGCAACTCTGGACACGTTACATCCCAGGTTCCCAGCGGGAACGCACTAGCACCGACACCCGTGGTCACGACGCAGGAGAAGCCTGTCAAGCCGCCTGCACAGCAAGAGTCCGCAAGGTAAGCCGAGTGTTCGCACCACAGTCCACACGTCCCTGTTTATAAATATAACATTCCACCCGTGCCCAGTGTCCAGTAACCGGCGTCCCCTTGAGAGTGAGAGCGAGCAGAGGTACTGTCCCTCTCAGTCCGTGCGTGGTGTCGCCTACATAGACTATTTCTGGCGGAAGTGAACATTGAGAATCAGATAGTACAGTACTGACTGCTGTAGTGTTGTGACTTGGTGGTGGATGTGATCAGGTGACGGTGGGAAACTATCTTGAGCAAGTATGATCTGTACACGTAGCAACACATGGCTGAGTGGTGTCACTCTGACAAACCAACTGATTTTACATTTTCGTGAAGTAGTTTTCAAGCACTTCTCCCAGCCACAAGGCGTTTATCACACCCTGATCACTGTGAGTGTGTGAGCAGTCTATAAAACTAGTAGTACTAGTACACTGTACTGGGAAGTAGGGTAATATGACCACTGGCTACTCCGCATACTACTCCGCATACTAGTTGTAATAGTTGTGGTGAGTAGTTAGTCATTACTTGAGGTATGCAGAACTACAATAACATAATAATTGCCCACTCTTACTTGGGGGGGGGGGGATAGTTGTATGCCTGGAGTTGCTATGGAATTCATCCAATGGTCATCATGGCCACATCATGCATTGTCATTCTTTATTACTACTAGTGTGAAATCATGGTCATGGTATGTGTACAGTGGCATTGTTGGGATGATTGCATCAAATGCCACTCCTAATGCTCCTGACTCCTGTGCTTACTCTAATTGTACTCAAAGTTAGCTTCTGGCAACACTAGGCATGTCATTCATCAGTGCTTGTAGTTCTAGTGTGAATAGGAGTTGATCAGGACCAAGGTGCTGCAAGCCAGGTGGGGACAGGCTATGCTGAAATTCGTCATCATACGCTTGGCAACAGCGCAGAGCTCTCTCAATCACTGGTCATGCATGTCTGGTGGCGTATCATGGTATTGGAATGCAGTTAGAGAAAGAGTTTGGTACTGAAGCAATAATTGTGGCATGTTTCCTGGACGTTTCAACACCTCTCATCACAACACCTTTCCGACGACCGCCATCACCCACCATCCACTTTGTGCTGAATATGTAAAGTGGCTTAGACTAACCAAGTTTTCTGAAGATGTAGCTAGTAGCATTGCCTGATATATGAAATTGTGCACAATGCTGCACCACTGCCAGACTGTCCCAGGAAAATGATAATAGTTGTTTGTCAACATATCGTAATGTTATGTTTTCATTGTTGTTGCCTCTGACATGCAGATCTACAACTCCGTCTGAATCTTCTGCCTCCACGGGTAAGTAATTTGTGCAGATGGGAAGCAGCAGCAGTATGACAGTCTGTACTAATTTATTGTGTCTTTCATCAGCATGTGCATAAAAAATAAACCGTGTAAAGCCACGCTCTGTTCCTGTGTTGATTTCTTCTGTTCCTTGTAGTGTCTGATGGTCCGGCAGCACAGTCATCATCCACATCACTTGTAGACCTGGTAGGTGTCACGTGATGTCTAACAGCACTGTGTATCGGTATTTTCGTAGCATGCTGCACGTTGGTGTCAGTGTGAAAGTGTTTTGTGTACGCCTTCAAGTCGCCTTGCGAAAAGGAACGTTGCCATTGGTGCAGTTATGATGTCGCTCTCAGTGTCGTCATTGTTATCATCTTCACTATTGTCGTTTTATCAGTCTATTTTGAATGTGATCTTGTGTTTTTGGAATACTCTGTAGCCCATTGAGGGTGGTCAGAAGGCCAAGGGCAAAGGATGGTACAAGGAAATGTTCAAGACTATCCACTCTTCATCATCTGGAGTCAGCGAGACGACTGGTTTGAAATCACCAACTTCATACAGTGGCGAATCAAGGAAGGTAGGAATTGGATTGATTGAGCCTTTCAGATATATAACATGCACTGCATGTTATGGAGGATAGGGAGCCCGGCAGACAGACAGACACACACAGACACACACACAGACATGCACAGACACACAGAAAGGCACGCAGACAGGCAAGGAAAAGAGAGAGAAAAATAGAGGATGGGATGAGGAGCTCATCGGGTTAGGCAGGTCACCTGATGTTTCTAAAGCATTCGCACAACTACCGGTAATACATTGTCAATACATTGTTTTTGCCTATGTGCTTTGCATCTTGTCTTTAGTCACTGCCAACGTCCTCCACTACCGCATCAGTACCAAAATGGTGAGAGGATTTTTCAGAGTGTGTGGTGTGCGTTTAATGTTGTTTAGCTTGGCTAGCTGCATGGTGTTCTCCGATATGGTTAGGTTGCATGTACCGTATTCTCCGGGGTGTTAGCCGCACCGGGGTCTAAGCCGCACCCCCTCCCCTTTAGAGCTCAAATTCGTATCTTTTTCGACGTTTGGAGTATAAGCCGCACGTCAGATTTAAAAATTTTGGCCATCCGAACTTGATGAGTACATACAAGACGTTAATTAATGGTTAAAAAGTTGAGAAGCATGACTTAAGTTCCAGCTAAAGTTTCTTTGTTTGTCCCTCACTCTGAACTGACAACGTAGAAGGATCGTACAACTGCAATGATGGATTTATGTGCATGAAAAACACCTAAAAAGTAGTCCGGAATGACACCATACATACATTTTATGCATGGCACACCGTATCACTGGTTGATTCATGGCCAGCATTCGAAGTCTAAGCCGCAGGGGTTATTTTTGAGTTATTTCAGGCGTTTCAAAGTGCGGCTAACTTCCCTGGAAACTGACGGTACATGAACAAGACTGACTAACAGTGACTAGGGTGTGTTGCTCCTGGACACACACCAGTTGCATGCAGTACATGGTCACAAGTTGAGAAGTGCAGATGTACTTGGGAGCCGATCAAAATTGTCAAGCTGCCGCAGAGGAGCGTAGCACTACTCCTGTGTTGAAGTGCTGCTTGTAGTATCTACCTGTGAAACCTTGTACGGAAGCCTGCTGGATCAGAAACCTGAAGTTCAAGGTGGACTGGCATTAGCACAAAGCCTATGTAGACGCACTGCATGTTACAGCATTAAATAATTATATCTGCGCTGCATTGTGCTTGGCTTGTTTTAGGACCTCTTCCCGCCCACAAAGCACAAGCTCTGCCAATGTTGCAAGCTCGGCAAAGACACACGAGGACCGCCGCTATTCCGCTGGCCCATCTGTTCAGTCTGGTGCAAGTTCACTACCTCGCCGTGGCTCCAAAGAACCACCACCATCAGTCTCTGCCCGTGCTGACTTTTTCCGCAAGAAGGATGTTACAACCGCACCCAAGGAGAGCGGCCTCTCGCCTGCTGGCAGCCAAAATCGATCTGGAAGTGAGTCACTGTGCCACAGTTGTAGCATGCCCCTGCGTGTTACCTGCGTGTTACCTGCTTATGAACATAACAAAAAGTGAAGATACTTCCATTTTTTGCTGAAAGGCTCTGCAGTCTTCATTTATCCCCAGTTGGGTAGCTATTAATGCATGTACACACTAAACGGAAAGTTTCGGGTATGTTTTCTGTTGATCTGATTGTATGGCTGTGTGTGTGTGTGTTTGTTTGCATGTGTGTGTGCATTTGTGTGCGGGTATGCATGTGACATGTACATTGCAGTAAGCACTGTCTCGCCAGCATCCACATGGTCCCAGAGAAATGCCGCCAATTCCGCCAGCTCAAAGCCTCCTCCTCCGACAACGGCTGCAAAGCCGGCATCAGCCAAATCAAACAGCTTACCTCGCACAAGTGCAAGACCAGAAAGCACATCGGAAGCATCGAAACGCAGCACCCCGTCTCCTCTCCGTTCCACACCAGAGCCTGCGCCAACGGAGAGTTACAACAACCTGAATGCTGCTCTATCCGACCTAAATGAAGCTATCTCTGACCTGGAGGTGGCTGCAACCACTGCTGCACAGAAGGAGGTGCGCAAGAAGCCAACCTGGCAGCCAGGCGTTGAAACAAATAGGAATGCTTCGGTTCTAAACTCCCAAGCACCTCACCATCAGAACAAAATGGAGAATGTACTGGAGAAGAAGCTGGTGGAAGGTGGGCACCGCAAACAGCAGCAGCAGCAGCCCGAGGAGGCGGTGACATGTGCTCCGAAGCGATCGAGCAATCATGTTATCACCTTCCCGGCTGAGATGACCCAAAGCCAACCACAACCTGCTCCCGTCTCTGCCAGTCCCTCGCCTCCCCCACCTGCTTCTGTTGCAGCAGTAGCTCCTGTGGCTAACAGCAAGGCCGCTCCACCAGTAGCCGAACCTGCCAGAGAAATTGCTGCCCCGCCGCCCTCTACAAAGATCTCTGTTGAGCCAGAGGCTGTCATGCAACTTAAACCGCCAGTCGAAGCTTTTGTGATTGATCTTCCACCGCCACAGCCTGAGGTGGTTGCATTCAGACCTGTGGAAGAGGATCTAAGCCTGACAGATACAACGAAGGCACTGGATGCTTTGCTGGAGGCTCAAGTTCAGGCTAAGTCCCAGAGCCAGCAGCCAGCTGCAGCTCCACAGCCAGCGCAGGGAAGGATACAGCCAGCATCGACTGCAGCGGTTGCAGTTGATGACAAGCCGAAGGAGAAAGTCAGCGTAAAGAAACCTGGTAGAGCGCCGCCATCTGCTCCAGTTGCCGCTGTTCCGAGAGCTGACCTGTCCGCGCCTGCCACTATCCCCACTTCTGCAGAAGTCAACACCCAACCGGTATCCAATACCGCGGTTGAGACAGCGCCATCCCAGGCACAGGTTGATGAGCATGATGGTCCTAGTGGCTCTTCCCACCAAGATGGTTCACTTATACCGGATGTTAAAGTATGTTCCCCACATTTGATAGCACTGGTTTCCCCATATGGATTCTCTTCTGATAGGAGTGCGTGCTTGTATTGATGCTGATGCTGGTGTCAGTGCTGGTGCTGATACTAATGCTGGTGGTTCACAATGTTACCTATAGGGACCTATAATTCAAGTGTATTTAGTTGGGTTGGTATCGGCTTCAAATGCGGAGAATCGTTATCCGTGGTGCGTACATGCGACAGCTCTTAGCTGTTGCCGGGAATTCGTACAATTGACATGCACCCATGGGTGTATGTGTGGTGTGTCTGTCTGTTTGTATGTCTGTGTCTGCTTGTCAGCATGTGCATATGTTTGTTGTGTGGGTGTGTGGATTCCCGTCAACTCACTAGAGTAGAAATTTCACCTAGCCATAGGTTTGTCCAGGCACACTACAGTTTGTTGAAGTCTTCATGAAAACATTGTACTGTATGCCTTTCTGTGCAGCTGGAACCTGGCCAAGGCTTTGGGACTGCCCTATACAATTTTGCACCACAAGGCAAGCGGTAAGCAGGAATTATCTTATGCAACCTGCCTGATCCTGTCCCATTGATCCTTCGGGACTGCATTGCAGGGGCTCGGGTGGTAGAGAAGCATCAGCTTGTCAGAGTGCTGCGTTCATTTCCTCAGAACTGTGCTACCGTAAGGATGTAGAAAATGGCGTTAACAAGTCTCATGCGAAGCAATTTTCTCCTGGAAAATGCATTTGAAATTTAGCGCTGGTCCTCCCAGTAACCTGATAACCAAGTATGTGGGATTGTGCTGATAAGTGATAACTTAGTTAGGTCATTTCTCCAAATGCTCTTTCTGCCTGTCTGTACGTGCGTAGAGAGATTCCCCTGAAGCGTGGGGATGACATCGTTCTCACTCGTCGCGTTGATGCTAATTGGATGGAGGGCAGTGTCAATGGGATGAAGGGAATATTCCCCACGACATATGTAAAGGTATGATTCGATTTCTGCAAGCATGCCTCATCTCCTATTGTGTCCAACATATGGCTGCGTGAAGTGGTAAAAAGACGCTCTCTTGAGTACACCATGACTGAGTCTTGATGATGTACAAGAAACCTTTGAAACGTGGCCTGTGCGTCTGCCTGTTTGGTGCGAGAGCTTTCCTTTGGCACTGAATGAGCTAAATGTGCCCGAAGACCTCGATTGGCTGCTCCCATATGTAGTCGCTAGAACAAGGTTTCACGAGAATCATGAAAGAAATTTGAGAGAGGACCTACTAAAACATAGTGTTAGACATTTTTGAGCAGAGGAACTCACGCCCATGCTACACAGTACACTCAGTGCTATAGTGGCCAGGATGGTAAGGTACACGTGCCGTGTGTTCTGTGTTTTGATATCCAGGTTGTCCTGGCACCAACTCAACGAGTGAAATCACCTTCAGCAAAAACTCCGGAGCCAAGTGCGCAAGAATCTAACAATGAGAAACGTGAAAGTCAAACATCGCCTAACCAGGGAACCGTAGAGGTGCGAGAGAAGAAACCGAGTGGCGGGCTGGCCAAGGCACGCTATAGCTTCCAGGCTGAGAGTATCCGAGAGCTGAGTCTCTCCAAGGTAATTGTGAAAAGTATGAAGATCCACCAATCAAATGCACGCGCGTTGCAGGTTGCTGTACTGAAGCAACGTCTATTTTGGTGGCTTTGCACTTCGTCTGGTGTATTGAAAGCAACTGATAACCACGGTCTGTGATCATGCGGCTGAGTTATCTGCTTCAGTTGTTTCATTCCAGTTTGTCCTTCTGTTCCGTATCCTCGTTTATTCATAGCACTCCATACACCGCTGTACCGTCCTCAATGTTTGACTCTTAGAGTACAATGTGCCCAGAGACAGGTGTTTTAGAATGCCTTCTTTTTCTGATTTTCTGTGTCTGTGCAGGGCGATGAGGTGACACTAATACGCAAGGTGGACAAGAATTGGTACGAGGGAATGCTCATGCCAGGTCTGAAGGGCATCATTCCAGCATCCTACCTAGAGGTATGCGTGGCAACAAGCTGTTTTTAAAGAGTACATGCCAGCTGAGTACATGCCAGCTGAGTACATGCCAGCTGAGTACATGCCAGCAGCTGATTTAGACAGTATTGTCAACACCATTGCTCTGTATGCTCTGTGAGACTTGTTGCATCACTCACTCTGTATGCTCTGTGAGACTTGTTGCATCACTCACTCTGTATGCTCTGTGAGACTTGTTGCATCACGCGGAAATTACAATAATATAAATACTAGTATTGTACAAAAAAGAAAGGACCAAGGAACTACAAGTTACGCTTTACTGTCCACTAACACCACCAGTTACTAAACAATCAGCTAATACGATAACATTGCACGACACTGACCGACGGTACTGACGTTCTACAACTAACTGGCTAACAGCTCTAACACATCTTGATCTTCGCATCTTTTGAGCCACGCAAGTTGTGTGGAATATTGCTTTGCGTTCTTGAATCGTGGTTTGACCGTATTGTCCAATGGTCTTTCCAGTATCGTCATCGACATGCATGAACATCCGCCAACGTCCTTCACAGCTGAGACTTTCAACTCGTGCTTATCTTGGTTGTGCTCACCTTCCCCTCCTTATGTTATTTCTATAACTTAGAACCTTCCAAGTTGGAAGGCTGTTGGAGTGCGCATCCAAGATGTGCTAGAGCTGTTAGCCCGTTAGTTGTAGAACGTCAGTACCGTCGGTCAGTGTCGTGCAATGTTATCGCATGAGCTGATTGTTTAGTAACTGGTGGTGTTAGTGGACAGTATAGCATAACTTGTAGTTCCTTGGTCCTTTCTCTTTGTACAATACACTACTAGTATTGTACTCTGTTTTTCATCGGTATGTTACATGTTTCTTCAGAACTATAAACTCCATTGCAGCGTACTACAGGCACTCGAAAGCACCTCAGTTCCGAAAACTGACTCTCGGCTGCACCGAATAAAGAAGTTGCCAATAGTTCACCCATTTTGCATCATCGGTGTATTACACATGTTGCCGATTTTTAAAATATCTCCACGTCTCCGCATGCTGAAGATCGTGACTATTTCTGTGTATGTTTTGTTTGTTGTTGGTTTTACTACGTATTTGACTGACTGATTCCATGAAGGTAATCGACGATGTTCCCATCATGAAGAAGACCCCATCGTCGTCTGATGTCATTGTGAGTATTGTATTCAGTGCACTCTCCAAAGCTCTGGCATAGCCATGCAAAGTCACATGCGTATGATCATCAGATTTGCCAAGTGAACACACACATTACACACCACATCACACATACACACACACACGCACGCACGCACACACACACGCGCGCGCGCGCTCATATAATTGGATTGATCATCAGTCCCTTCATTGTAAGGTTGCAGTTCGGGTGCTACACATCTGCCATGCCATGCATGCGTGCGTGCGTGCGTGTGTGTGTGTGTGTGTGTCTGAGGTGTGTGTGTGTGTGAGGTGTGTGTGTGTGTGTGTGTGTGTGTGTGTGTACATGCATGCATGCACGAGTGCACTATTATATATTCTGACTATGGCCGCATTGTGATGGTACTTAAATACTTGCAGCAGGGTGTCCTGGTAATCATTGAAAGGGTGTCCTGGTAATCATTGAAAGGGTGTCCTGGTAAACATTGAAAGGCCTTTTGATCCAACCGACAACAAGCTCACACAACTCAGTTCTGGGATATTTACAGGATACAGGAACAGTATGATACAGGTGAAACAAGAGAGAAAGAAAGCTATCCGTCCATCACGGAAGG